CTAATCCGATAAGTCCAGCTTCATTTGAAAGCAATCCACTATTATAAATAAGACAGCGTAAACAATTACATAGGCTGAGACCGCATTCGGACATATTACCGATTGGAATTCCCCAAAGAGTGATTTGTTTTATTTCCGATTGTATCTACAGTTACAAACCCTTATGTTGAAGAGGTATACGTAATATCGTTCTCTAGACTACAGCCCATTTCTTCGTTGAATCATGTGTTTCATATTCCACTTCAAGAATCACTGTTCCCAAACTAGTTACTTCAATCGTTAAAAATGGATGAAATGGGTTCCAGTTTGGTAAGATTTTGAGCCAAATTATAATCTGAAAGTCGTCGTATAAGTAGGTTTGATCTCAACGAACTCGGACTCCTGCGGTCCCTTTTAATACTTTGACGTCACGTGAAAGGTATTAGTTAGGAAACTGAAGAACTGGACAACATTATCCTGATATCGCCGGCTAACTGTGACTAGAGAAGAAACCACCAAGAATGCTACTAGAGTTGACTTTCGATGACAGTACAAATGGGATACTACATGTAGTAGTTGGTCACGATAGGCACCATCGCCGTGGTTGTTCGATGACTACTATCTCTATAGATACCAAAGTTTTGAACACAACGTTCACAGACAAAAAGATAAAACAACACTAATACTCATTTTTGAATAAAATTGCGGTTTTGTATCTAGTAGTTCCTGTTGTATTCGACGAAAATACCTTACGCGTTTTCACTTGCGACGTTATGTTATTGAATCTTTTTAAAACTATTCCTGGTGTAACATGCCCGATAGTGGAAAATGATCAATTCTTTTCATCCATCTCATTCATCTTATAAATATATCTTGTCTTTGCATCTTAAATGTTAGTAGCTAGTGTGTAGGGGTTTTCTGCTTCTCTTTCGAATGTACGTACAAGTATAATGTTCGTGAATAAGAGCCTTTAACTTTAAACATGATTAATGAGATTTTTGTATTTCTTAATGGTTTACATTAAACGTCAATTCAAAATAAAACGTAATCTATCACGTATACAAACTGCATGCTTCCCTCGGGATACACACCAAGGTACTATATCTAGTAGAACTAAACCAAATAATAACACCTAAAAACGAAAGCAAAACGAAGCGACCTGCGTTTAATGAAATCTTAACCGATGCCATACTTTAAAAATCGGAAACATTGCATATCACTGATAATTATCAGTATTATGTTATGATGTATTATGATTATAATGTCATTTAACCAGTGCATAAATTGTTCATAAGTATTGGATAACTACCACATCCTGTAGACACGATTGTGATATTGACCGACATGATGATTATTACCCAAAATGTATTGACAGTAATTGTTTTTTATGACCCCTTACATTGCAAAAAACATCTAAATTGGGGATAGCGCAATTGTTCAATCATGTTTAAGAATCATAAATTTATAACTTGCTTAATTATGTGTCTATATTTGTTTTTATCTGCACTGGGGCTGGATGTAATGTTCCTATAACACATTTATCAAAACCAATGTAAAGGTCAATGTAAATTCATGTCATTTCCCATTCGTAAAACACCATAATATCGTCGATAATTTTACGATTATCTCTTCAAAGCTGGAGAGACTTACCGATTTTATGAAATCTATACACAATAGGACGTCTTGACTTTATGCCGAAGTTCTTTATTATTTCCGAATCTCACGCGTCATCAACATATATTTAGATTCAAACGTGTCTTCAGTGATATTTATTCACATTGGTGCACAGTTGTTCTTTAAGCCACTTGTTAGCGTTTCCCTTGGGGAGAAGTGAAAAGGTGATAGCCATTTTTCATATAAACTCTACTTTCCTTAGTTTTGTTTTCTTTGATGTTTCTCAGCACAAGAAGAATATTTAACATTATCTTATATTTCACGTTTTATGTTAGACTTACCTATCAATCGTCAATGTTACTTTCTGAATACTTTTAAATCGTAACGTCGATAGAACACATGTAGCTTTTATAGTAAATTTAACTTGGCATCTATAAGGAGCTCCCTCTACAAAAACTACTCTATCTGTATGTATGAAGGTATTAATGAGATGTACATCTATTGAGTCTTTTTAATTGATTCTAAAATGAATGCTTTAATTTTTTGTATCCTTTATAACTATACTTTATAAATAAACTTTAGAGTAGAGAACGTGTCAAACCCCTTTCTAAAATGACGCGTTCTCTGATTGTACCGATCTATAACCTTACATTGTGTACGTAGAATTTATCAATGTTCCGAATGATATTTTTATCTAACCCCCCTATCACACCAAACTAGTTCTTACCCGTTCTTGCCAGTCCTACGAAAACGTCGTAAAACGGGCTCAATCTGGCTGTGGTCGGGAAATATGTCTGAAATAATAAGCTTCTTCGTTCTTAAACAGTCTTCAATACGTCCATCTCGTTCGCAGTTCGTTCAGGTCGCACCACGTCGGTGTGCAACGTCGTAGAACGCGTCCCTTAGTCTAGAAGGTCAACATGACCTGATTACAGAACGGTATGGTCGCCATCGAATTTTGAATCGATTCAAAATTCTAATTCACATTCCCGTCTGAGAACGTTCATAAAGTTCGTAAATAGACCTTAGAAAGTTGCAGCTACGTTCATTCCGTTCGCACACAGTTTCAAACCAGTTTTGAAGAACGCAGTGGCAACTTGTTTGATGTGATAGCTATATTTTTGCTAACTCGTTCATAAGCAGTGTTAAATACGTTCTTAATCAGTTTAAACCCGTTTGCAATTAGTTCTACCTCGTTCTCAACACGTCCTCAGACAGTTCAACTCGTTGTTAAAACGTCCCTAGTAGGAGTGAAGTACGACGGTTCCGTTCGTAATACGTCCAGCTCGTCGTTAGTACGTTGTCACTCGTTCTAACTGTAGAACGTGACGACCACGAGAACATTTTGAGCATTGTCTGAGTTCTAGAGGACCTACCCGTTCGAGTACGTTCGATGAAGTTTGTAAATAGATCCCAAACGGTTCTTAGTAGGTCCAGTCCGTTCGTACACAGTTAGAGCCCGTTTTCGAGAACGTAGTGAGAACTAGTTTGGTGTGATAGTAGGGTAACCCTACTATCATTCCAAACTAGCTAGTTCTCACTACGTTCTCGAAAACGGGCTTCAACTGTACGTACTACGAACGGAACCGTCGTACTTCAATTCTACTAGGGACGTTTTAACAACGAGTTGAACTGTCTGAGGACGTGTTGAGAACGAGGTAGAACTAATTGTAAACGGGTTTAACCTGATTAAGAACGTATTTAACACTGCTTATGAACGAGTTAGCAAAAATATAGCTATTACACCAAACAAGTTGCCACTGCGTTCTTCAAAACTGGTTTTAAACTGTGTGCGAACGGAATGAACGTAGCTGCAACTTTCTAAGGTCTATTTACGAACTTTATGAGCGTTCTCAGACGGGATTTGTGATTTTAGAATTTTGAATCGATTCAAAATTCGATGGCGACCATACCGTTCTGTAATCAGGTCATGTTGACCTTCTAGCCTGAGGGACGCGTTCTACGACGTTCCACACCGACGTGGTGCGACCTGAACGAACTGCGAACGAGATGGACGTATTGAAGACTGTTTAAGAACGAAGAAGCTAATTATTTCAGACATATTTCCCGACCACAGCCAGATTGAGCCCGTTTTACGACGTTTTCGTAGGACTGGCAAGAACGGGTAAGAACTAGTTTGGTGTGATAGGGGGGTAAGTACCTCCCTTCCTTCTAAGGGCTTGCTCCCCGAAATGAAAATGCTGGCTTCTGTGCGAAAATAAAAACTTTGAGGAATACTGAAATAATTCAACCATTATATTTGGAGATATTGGCATCTGCTTATTGTGTATTTGAAGTGGCATTATACGAGACGTAGGATGAAAAATGAAGCGTTTCATCATGTGACACATCCTCAATTGTGAAGATTAATGTCTACTGATGAATTGTAGTTACAAAAAACTACTTCCGATCCCCAGATATTAATCTAAGTGACAACATTTGATCAGTGTATCTGGGAAGACGTAAGAAGGATGCCAGTATGAATGATGAAAACAGTTTAAAAGAGATCACGATCGATAACTTCAAGCAAATATGTCGCGTCATGTATTTTTTCGCTCTAACCTTAACTCAGATGAAACTGTTCATTTGAAGTACAGTGATTTCTCAATGTCATAAGAGAAAACACAAATTGGTTTCAATATTAATGACCATGACTCGATGTAATTTAATTAAATTCCTTGTGAATCTAGATATTGATATACCACATTCAAAAGGCTATGAATGTGGATCAGCATTCAAACAGGGAATTTAAATATGTGAGCCGCTGTTCGACCAACGATTTCATTCCTAGAGAGTCGTAGAGACAGACTCAAATTAGTAAATTGCCAACTTCTTTGGTTTATTCGGTTCTCAGTTCTCTAGCATGCATTCCGAGCGTTCATCCTGCTAAGGATTCTGATATACGAATTTGTTTTAAATTATCTCGATCGCAACACGATACAAAATGCTGCTGATTGATGAATGGAACATTGACCAACGAATATAGATTTAAGGTCATGAGACGGACGTACGTGTGCTGTAAGGGGATCGGATTCATACTCTCCTCTAATGGATTTTGGCAGGGACGAATTTGCTCGGAAAGTCTTGATCGTAGTTTACTCCTAAAACCCGGTTAAATGATGTCGCCTAATTGTATCAATGTAACCATCACATCCATTTATATCTTATACTAATAAGACGATAATAAAGATCGTCTTGTTTCCCATTGAAACTCCTTTGATATCGGAAACGGCGTATTGGATATTATTGGACCGCTATCGGGATACACAGGCTGCAGATTCCTTTGAGCAGCAAAGCATCCGTGAGGTATTAAAGAAAAAGTCAGCGCATTTGAAAACGCTAGCGTTGATCAACTGACTGAAAATATTATTCGAACATCGCAATTGCAACATTATGACTTAGATAGATACACAAACCTATTTAGGAGAGGATTTATTGAAGAATCAGTTATTGCAAGCTTGAACCGAATATGTATTGCAAATGTAACAAATGTCGGTTGAATTCAGAGTGAAGAAGACAAATGAACGAAAGGATTAGCCAGGCATTTTGCTAACATATTAACCGATATCAGGTAGTTTTTCTGTTCGTTTACGAACTAATAACTCTTCAAGGAGATACTATTATTTATAAGTATACGTAAAAAGTGAGTATCGTATTTTAAAGATTGTTAAGACACGCGATGTGAACGAGAACATCGAGCGCTTGGAATGTTAGTACTGACCGGGCATAGGAACGTTTAATTGAAAGGAGCAAAAAGGATTACCTCAGACATGGAGGGAGTAAATGCTACACTAGCCCACCCTCACCAGCTGCCATCAGTGATAAACACTACAATGGCCACTAATTTCACACAGGATGATTTACACTCTTTTTTAACAGATAAACTCGGGCCTCGTCGACGCCCGATGCCCGAAGTGATAAGTCTGACGTTTGTCTATACGTTGATCCTTGTAACGGGGGTCATCGGAAACGTATGTACCTGTCTTGTTATCACTAGGAATCACTACATGCAGACTGCTACCAACTACTACCTATTCAGTCTAGCCATATCTGATGTTTTAACTTTAATCTTAGGTAAGTGCCCCTTCTTTGTATCTACGAGGTTCTTAAGAAACTTTACGAATAAATATGGTATCAATAGCACGATGAAGATAACTTGAATTCAATATAGAAGCTAAAGAAACCCAAACCGACTCGCATGCCATGAAATGAAAAGATAAAGCCTCTAGCTAAACGATTTGTTTTTTGAAAGGTGGTAAAGGTATGTTTACGTAGTCTCTAATTTCTCTAATTACTTTCACGATCAGTGTTCTCAGCACTACATGGCATATGATCATCTCTTACAGACATTGACGAGTTCAAAGACTTCGCCAGAAATAAACATATTTCTCTACCTCATGCTTAGCTCCGTGCAAACTACCCACTCTGATTGTTCACTGCGTCTTTGGATCGAACCTATGACGTTTGTTCACTTGTCCATGTACCAGAACATAAAAATAGAATTTATAAAATATAAAAACTCATGATAGGGACAAGGAGGATTGGCTCCCAGAATCGAAGTCGATATTTTCCAACAATGAAAACGCCGAAATGTCGTTATTTTCTGAAATTATAACCGATTATAAATTCAAAATAAACAGTTCAAAATATTCGAACCAATATCTCGATCATTTCTTGTGAGTTTTGGAATTTTTCGTTAGGGAATAAGACCAAAATTCACAATTCAAATGTTGAAGTGAACAAAATGGCGGTCGTTGGAATTCAAATTTTGTAGCACGACATGCCCATATATGGGACAGAATATCGATGCTGCACTCTGGGAGCCAATCCTCCTTGTGATAGGTAGAAGTGTTAATTTCGTGTTCGGAAACATTGACGTATGAAATTAAGCTTTTTGGGGTATGATGGCAATAAGAATCCACATGTCCAGGGGCGTAGCCAGCTTTCAGTCAGGGGGGGGGTGCGATCGCCGAAAATTTTTCAGTTTTCGGTCAGGGGGGGGGTGCGATTTTGCCATAAGCAACACAAAAAATTAAGATTTCTTTTGAATTTTACAAAAATTGATGCAACTTCCTTCAAAATTGAGCTAGAAGCTTCAAATAAAAAGCATTTTAAAGCTCTTTTCTACCTCTATCCAATGGTCATATTTTCAAAGGTTATGGGGGGGGGGGTGCGATCGCACCCATCGCACCCCCCCTGGCTGCGCCCATGATGTCGATACTTTTATTAGTTCAAATTTAACTTTTTCATATCCGATGTATTCTGAAGTATTGATAGTGGATAGGGTTTCCATCATGCTGATAACATTTTGCAGGCTTACACGTATATTTGCAAATTAGAGAATCCTTGTTTGTTTACTATAATGTTCGGAATGTAAAACGTTAAAATGGTTACAACGAAAATATTTAAGTAAACAAGATACTATAACGACTATAATTTTGATGGTTGAATTGAAGATATAAACAATTTTGTTTCGAGTTGTCAAACCCAATAATCCTTGTAAGTCGTTAAATCCTGATAAATCACTTATTTTATGCAATTAATATCATGCGCAGAGCTGCTAAGAATTGGACAATCTGGTTTCTTGCAATGTTTGAGAATCATCAGGTTAAACTCGCTTATTTACGCGTTGTTCAACTCTGTTGATAATCAAAGTTAATTCGGCGGTGAGTACGAATTCTTTCTCTGATATTGGTTAAATCTCAGCTTTTTATGAATTATGCTAATTTAGCAATCATTCTTATCGAGGATTGAATCAAACTGTGGCATTTCATTTGGGAATTATTTGTGAATAGCAAGTTTTCATTTGCAAGTTATTTGTGCTAATAGTTTCCTTTTATGAAATATGTAACGCAGTCCCTTCCCATTTATAACGGGAACTATGTGCCAGGTCGATTTCTTGATCGAATCTCGTTATTTTTTGCTGTTTCTGAAATTGGGAAGCTAATGAAGTGATACGTTATGGCTCCTTCTTAAAGATAAGTGGAATGTTTAAACAGTCAAAGAATTCACTCAGAAGTGCTGAAGATTTTATAAAAGTTATTTTTTAATGAATACGACGGATAAACATAAGTGAACCAGATCAATGAAAAGAGCAAATCATTTATATAAGGTAATCTCAACGACGTCTATTTTTGATCGAGTTTAGGAATTCATGTCATCAGGCACAACATAGTAGTACACACGTAGCGTGCAGTTATCGATGTAAGTTTAAAGAATGTTAGAAGTTGCATCGATCTATAATTGAAATGGTGTCAGTTCCTATAATATGGACCGTAAAGCCAGGCGGTTCACCTGTTACAGACATTTATTTTAATTTCCCTTGTTGGCTTCTCTTCCAAATATTTACAGACGAACCACGTGACGAATTTAAAGGAACATTTGTTCAATATTTTTGTTTACTTGATATCGTTAATTAGAATGTTTTTACCCGCAATCTCACAAAATTTCTCTTTGACTATTTAGAGTCCATGGTACGTGTATGTCATCATATGCAAGGACCTCTAATAAAGGCGCTGGTAGCACACTGTGGCGCAGCGATATTTGAACTAATATTTACATACCTACATATGTCCCGTATTTATTTTTTATTAAAGCCGACCAATATAGTCCCGGCTCATAGGCTGAATTATGCCTTTCGTTAGCAGGGGTCAAAAAAGGTAATAAAAACGAATTCATATTTTGAAGTACATAAAATTACAAAAAATGAAAAAATATTTTCAAATACATATTTAAAGTTTATCAGCCATAATTTCAAGGTTATTTTGCCAAAAATACCAAAAATTATGTAATGTATCAACATTTTGTCTTGTTTCTTAAGTATTGGTGTAAAGTAAATTGTATAATAATAGTAATATTTCTTTAAATGTGTTTTTATACGTTTTGAGATATAGACTATCATCCTCAAGGGTCAATTATCGTTAAATGAGGACGCATTGCTTGACTCTTTGTGGCTTTGGTCAAAATGAGCGTCTGTCCTGTCCGTATTACAAAATAGATAAAAGCTAAAAAGCACTCTTATGTAATACACTAACTAAACAATGACATTTACATGAAGGATAATGCATAAAGAATAGAATGAAAATGTTTACATTTTTACTCCTTGTGATGACGCATATTTTGAGTCAAAGGCGGAAGTTTTTTCAGCAACTGGTATTTAAAAAACAATTATGCAACTTCTTTAATATTGGTTCAAATACTTCAAATGTTACTGCGCCATACTACTACTACTGATTCTTCATATTCCGGAGTCATGTCATGGACTTTTACCTCGATAAATCTAAAAGAACATTTTAAGGAAATTCCAGGTATGACTTAAAATGATTGAAGCTTTATAGATGGCTAATATTATTAGCCGTTCATATATTCATGTGATGTACCCCCATAAAGCAGCAGTATACAATCGATCTTAAAGAAAGACATACGTGTAGGAATGAATGTTGATTAGCGGACGATTGGATAAATGTACATTTGACCTCAACTCATAAATCTTTCGCTTATCAAACGAAAATAATAGACATATGTTTCAAGGCAAACTTATTGTTGTATGTCCTTTGAATCTCAGTGTGCTCAGAAGTGTCATTTCGATACCTTAAAATGAACTAGGCGTATAGAGACGATTTTGTTTTGAAGGATGGAATCCGTGTTATCATGAAAAAGAATATTACTTTTCTTAGATACACAGTAAAAGTATCCCGATCAATCGAATCCCAACGCCTCTGGGACCGGCCAAACGTGCTTGTTTTCAAGTTTTTTTGAATATGTGAGTCAATGGGAGGTAACGAACTGAAACCAACAAAAGGTGCGCACAATACACTCATCAAACAATGTAGCTGGCATAGTCAAAATGTCAGCCCCATATCGGTTCAATTAATCTGTTTCTATTCAAGGTATGCCATTTCAGGAGGAGAAACTCTGCATATTGCGTCACTTCTATCTTTCCCACTCTTGTTACATTATCTAATATATTTAAGGGGAAATTAACTCAATCGTTTGAAAATTTAGACATATTCTTAGCTAAATCTGATTTAGAAAAGTACCTTGGGACGGCTCATTTAACATTTAAGAGGTGGATGTCACAGTTCCATCCTCAACTTAATTATATTCATCGTCTTTTTTCAATGTACATACTATTTCCATATACAGAACAACAACCAACAAAGTATTTCATTGTACAACCCGAACCTAAAATAACCAGACGTATAAGATTTACTAATTTTATTGATCTCTTTCTATGACATAATGATTCAGGCAATGTACCCCGCAATATTCTAATTGCGAAAAAGTGATGCCCTTAGGCTAATGATCTGCCCTTTAAAAACACACAGCAGCAGATCTACTGGCAACTCAAGAGCGCTCAAAATATTAGTACAGCAACCAGTGTCCATCTGCGCATCATCTCCAGTATTAGTTACCTACGTAGTAGACAAGAATAACTTTGTTTGAACTCATCAAAGCTCTCGTTGAATTTCAGAGCACTGTTCTTAAGTGTGTTTTCATTCCAAATGTTTCACTTAAGACTTTAGATCCATGTTAAGTTGTTAAGAGCTTGGCAACTAATATACATATATCGCTCTTAAGTCTCATACTGATCTAAAATTAGATTCCATTAAGAGTTGCATTGGTTCTGCTGATTACCTAATCTAAAATTATACCAATTAATTAATTTATACTTAATTATATATGCACCTCGTGATAATTGTTCCCTTCCCCATCGCAGAGTGATCAATTACGGTAGACATTGTTTCTTTGTGGGTCGAGACGTTTGCGCTTGTTTCTGTTCTGTGTTTCTTCAATACTTTTGGAGAAACGGAATATATTAGTTAAGTTAATTGTAAATGTTCCTTCCAATGTAATTTCTTTTCATATTGCCCACCATTTTTTCACCATTGACGTAATGTTGTCAGGTTCGTAGCCAGCTTTCAGTCAGGGGCGGGTGCGATCGCCAAAAAATTCGGTTTCCAGTCGGAGGGGGTGCAATTGTGGTATAAACAAGCCAAAAAAAGATTTATTTTGAATTTCATAAAGATTGATGCAACTTCCTTCAAAATTGAGCTAGAAGCTTCAAATAAAAA